CGCACGATCCGAATGCCATATTATTATCTGTTAAAGTATATTTCTGTTTTGCAAAATGATAATAAATTATTGAATGTTGTTGGTATTAGGAAACATGAGTTGTGAAGATTCTTTTTCTTTGAAAAATCTAAAAAGACCTTTTTCTCATCAAATCCAAGAGGCAATCCACATCCTTTCCTAGAAGAAATAGAAATTTTGAATGGCCAGGTTGGTCAACTCTTGATAATAGTAAATCTGATGAATGGGTCATCATATTTGAAAAATTAAATCTTTACTTTTCGTCAAGTTGATTGAGTGGTGTTTCAGAAAGTGAATCTGCCATGGTAGTATCACTAGGTGTGCTTACTGTGCTAGTTCTGTCGTCTGGTTTTTTCTGTGAACCATTTGAAGCTCCAAGGATTTCAGATTTCTTCAAAGTCCAATTATTGGCAGCAAGTTTAAATGCCTGTTTTTGTGTTAATTCTGTGTGAGTTGTTCGAATACGTTGAATTTCTCCCTTCATGAAAATATTATAGGCATTAGGTTGTCTATTACCCTTTTCCTTCTTTGGTGCTGAAAATGTTGGTATATCATCACTAATTGATGATAACTCATCACTATGTGGCATACGATGAAGATTGCCTGAATTTACAAATTCATCCCCTGATTGAGGAAGTAAGTTTTCCAATTTTTTCAATCTCATTTCCATCTTTCTCATTTTGGCAGATTGAATAGTGACTAATTGTGCCATAAAATCAATTTTATCTTCCAAATCTCTAATATATGAAACTGGATCAGATGATGACGAGGATTGATTATTATTTTCGTATTGTTCTCTATTTCTCTTCTTGAAACTAGCAAATACATTTTCAAAATCATTAAGTGGTTTTGGTGCTTGTCCATTAATCATTGTATTATTCATAGAATGATCTGAAATGGTTGAACATGAAGATGAGGCGGAGGATATTCTGACATTTACATTATCAACAAGTGTACTATTACCATTATTACCACTATAAGCTTGAATTGCATTCATAATTGGCCCAACATTAACAACACGAGAAGTTGAATTGTTTGGTGGTATGGAAGCAATAGGTGGTAAAGAATCATCATTGCCAGCTGATCTCATGTGTTCTATATTATTGTTGGATGCATTATTTAGTGTTGTTGTTGCTGTATTTGTTGTGTTAAGTGGCTTAGAAGGGTGATTGATACTGCTTCCATATTCATCAAGCATGTTTGTTTCAAAAGTTGCTGTATGATGAGGTGAAAGTGGAGAGGAAGGAGCAGGGGAAGAAGAAGCAGAAGAAGATGACGAAGAAGGAGGCATTTGTTGATCTTCCATCATGAAGGAATTAGAATCTGACAGCATTGTTATTCGCTTTTATATTTTGATGTGATGTTGTTTAAATTAATGATGGTAGTTGATGATAATTAAATTGTTATCCTTCCGTATTGTTACCAATTTGTATTATGATGGTGGTGTGTAAATAATTTAAATAATATTATTCTAATAGTAGTAGACTTGTTGTTCTCCTTATTAGATATAAGATGTGCGCTTTAATATATTACTTGATATTGTAAGTAAAACCTAGAGAGAAGTTAATGATGAAGATTTGTTGTTATTGTTCTAGTGAATTGTACTATTGATTAAACCAAACACACAACTTTTTAAAAACCACTCTCTCTGATGATGAAGAAAACGTATTTAAAACGCAGTGAATAAACAATTGCAAAGCGGATTTTGCTAATCAAACAGAATCTGGTGGTTGGTTGGCAAATTTTTTGATAATCTCTTATCTATTAAATATTTTGAAGAATAAACTTTTTATTATGAAGATATGAAGAGAGGAAGCACGAGGATTTCCTTCTCCGCACATACAAGTTTGTAGAAGAAAGTAGTTACCTCCGCTTTAAGAGAGGCACAATCAATTAAAATACAATCCATCAAATCGCTATCAAATCGACACGAACAGTAATGAGAAGAAGGTAAAAAACAGCTTTCTGTTGGCTGGAACAAATAAAATCTTTTATTAGTTTTTTTTAAAACAATAAAATTCAATTTTAATTTTATAAAAAAATCTTTTCTCGTTCTTCTTGGTCATCACACGATAATAATAATCAAACTCTGAAAATATTATCATCAGCATCAAATACGATAGATCGAAAGAACGGAATTGTTGAACAAGATCAGAGACACAATAGTTATAGGAAATTAATTTGTTGGATTTTATATTCGGAAGAAGAATAATTTATTAAAACAATGGGACATACAGCCTTTGAATATTTCCAATTATTGGATGGATTGGGAAAGGTAGAATCATTGTGTGTGTGGTGCAATACTCTTTTTGTGGCCACCACTGATGGTACCTTATCCCTTTACAATATTCGATATGATAAAAAGGCAAACAAGGAAAAGTTTACTTGTGCTCTGGACAGTCAAAAGAAACAATTTAGCAAAAAGCCAATCACTCAAATGTGCTCAGTTCCAGAATTGGGAATGTTGATTTGTTTGACAGATGGATTTATTAAAGTATATACTCTCGGAATGTTGAGTGAAATTGATACACTCAAGAATTTAAAGGTAAGAATAATTTGGAATATTTTGAGTGTAATTAAATTGATAGCAAAATCAATTGAAGGGATGCATGTTTTTTGCTCTGAAAAAGCACAATGGTGAATTTACAATGGCAGTTGCATCAAAGAAAAAGATTTCAATCTTTGAATATGGTAGTAAGGAATCTAAATTTAAATATCAACAGGAATTGGTTCTGCCAGATGCTGCCAAATCTTTGAATTGGAGTGGCGACAAGCTCTGTGTTGGTTTCAAAAAGGAATATTCATTAATTGATGTATTAAAGCCATCTGCCATGCCACAAAAACTTTTCGATACAGGTGTTTCACAACAAAATACTCTTGGATTATCACTTCCCAATGAAACTATTGTGGTTTTGAATGGAATTGGTGTGACCATCAACTTTTCTGGTAAACCTTCACGATCACATGGTATTGGATGGAGTGAAGCTCCAAACATGATTGGCTATTTGAAACCATACCTCATTGCACCACTCTCTGTTTTTGTTGAGGTTAGAATTTTGAGTACCACTGTGAAAAAGGATACTTTCATTCAGAGTCTTCCACTCAAGGATATCATTACAACAAGTCAACAGAATTTCATTGATTTGGATCATCCAGAAAATATGGATCATGGTATGGGTGTTGGATTCAAGGTAAGAAATGAACTCGACAGAGATGACACCATTGATCCAGAAAATAGAATTTTCCTCGCTTCAAAGAGTTCCATCTATGTTATGGTAATGAAACAATTTGATTTGCAAGCTGGAGAACTCTTATCCAATCAACAATTTGAATTGGCTCTCCATCTCTGTAATACTGTAGAGAATACCAGATATAAGATTGAAGATTGGAGAGTTAGTTCCATTCACACACAATTTGGTTTTCACTTGTTTGCCAAAGGTGAATTTGACAAGGCAATGGAACATTTTGATAAGACTAAAGATGATCCACGTATGATTATTTCACTCTTCCCTGATTTGTTACCACCAAAATCTTCATTTAAATTCTCCCTCCCTTACACTTCTGAAGAGCAACGAAAGATTGATCACTTTTTAAAGGATATTGAACAAAGAAATAAGGCCCTTCAAGCCCTGATTCAATACTTGCTTCACAGAAGAACAACAGAAAAGGATTTGAATGAGCAAGCTCTAGATGAAGCTGAGGCAGTTGATACAGCATTATTGAAGGCACTTTTATACACTAATGACCCTCACGTTGAAGATTTTATCACCCAACCAAATCATTGTAACATTATGGACAGTCAAAAGACCCTCCACTCCCATCAAAAGTTTAGAGAGTTGGTTCTCTTCTACAAGACCAAAGGGTTGCACGATAGAGCTCTTGAATTGTTGAAATTATTGGGAGACAAGTCATCAGCAACATCTATTTACACCGACTTGATTGGTGTCATGCCAACTATTAACTATTTGAAGGAATTACAACAGGTTGGAGAAGGACAACAGTACATTTTAGAATTCTCAAAGTGGGTACTCAGTGCTGAGCCACTTCGTGGTTTAAAGATTTTCCAAGTACCAAATTGTCCAATTAGTGTAAATGAAATTTTATCTCACTTGGATTTGTTTGATCATGCTCTGGCCATGAAGATTGCCTATTTGGAACACTTGATTAAGGTTGAAAAATCTGTGGATCCAAACCTTCACAATCAACTTTTATTGTACTATTTGGAATATGTGACCAAATACTCAACATCAGCATCCAACTATGAGGAAGATAGTATTCCTGGACTCCTTCAACCAGTTAAGGATGTCAAGCGTAGAATGAACGACTTTTTGACCCACTCTACTTTTTACCACTCTGAAAAGATGCTTTCGAGATTCCCATTCGATTCCCTGTACGAAGAGAGAGCTATTTTGTTGAGTAAGATTAATAGACACTCCCAAGCTCTGACTATCTATGTTACCAAATTGGAAAGTATGGATAAGGCTGAGAAATATTGCGAGCAACACTATAATCCAGATGGAAGTGAAGAAAGTAGGGAAATATTTATCATTCTTCTCAATATGATTTTAAAGCAAAGTGCCAGTACAGAAAACAATTTATTCTTTGAAGATGCTATTGGATTATTGGAACGTCACTTTTCAAAGATTGACTTGATCAAGGCAATTAAATTGCTCCCAGAAAATGTTCCAATATCTGATTTGATGAAGTACTTTGAAGCAACTCTGAGGTGCCATACGGAACAAAAGAGACGTGCTCAAATTATGAAAAATATCAATCGATCTGAGAATCTCCAAGTTCACGAAGAAGTCATTAAGGAAAGAAAGAGAGTTGTAAAGGTTAAACCAGATAGAACTTGTGCAGTGTGCAATAAGAAATTAGGTATGAGTGCCTTTGTTTGTTATCCTAATGGTGTCGTTACACATTATATTTGTGCTAAAAACATGAACGTTTGTCCAGTCACAGGTAAACACTTTATGAAATTGTAATAAATTATTTTTTGTAAACTGATTTATTTAAACAGAATCTGCTGTTAATTGAGGCATACACAAATTGTAAAAGACACTATCTTTGAATACTTGTTCTCTGGTCTTCCATCCGCACCATCCTCCTGAAATGACATCTTCCAAATATTCTGGGTCACTAATACTACCAGTGAAATGAGGATCCAAAATGAGGTAGGATACCTCTCCAGTCATTTCATCAAATTCAATTCCCAACATGGTGTATGCAAGAACACCACCTCCTATCATAATTGGACTACCATTAACATCAAAGTGATTGGCGATGGCTCTTGCATGTGAATTCATTTCATCACCTCTATTTACATACAGAACTTTACTTTGAATACCGCACCACTTTTCCAGAACAATGGTATTTTCAAAAGCGCCAATCCATTGAGAAGAGCCCAAGAAGGACTTTGCTTATCTCCACAATCTACTAGACACTTTTGAATTTCATCATGGGTTGGCAAGTTGACAACGAGAGAACCAGAATGATATTGAGCATGTGAAATAAGTGTTTGAAGACTTCTGTAGGCACATCCCCATCCTTCATCATTGAATTTATCTTGGCAATAGTGAGCATATAAATAGTCGCCACGAACAAGATGTAAATTATTGGCTCCTGATGATTTGATTGTGGAAGGATAGCCAACATAATTGTGAACATTCAAGATCTTCTTGTTAAAATCACTAACTTTGGATTTGGAAGAGCGTCCAAAAGCCAATGCCTGATTAGTTCTAATGAATGGTTGCTTGAGTGAAAAGTAGAGTCTCTTGTGATATTCCTCTCTCAATTTGATGCAATATTGTTCATTTCGTTGTTCAAAAACGAGATCTTCACTGTAGAATGGGTAGCAACATGTGAAAATGTGAGGATAATCCTTTGGAAGGAATTGGTAAAATCCAATATTCTTTAAAGACTTGTTAGCTCCAACACTTGTAACAAGGAATCCCTTTCCAATATTGTTACTAATATAGACGAGTTGTTTGATTAATCCTTCAATGACAATTTCACGAATTCTTCCAAGGGAGAGTGATTTCTTTAAAGCACTTACTGGAATATAAGATGAAGATTCCAAGCTGATGGTACAATTTGTGAGTTTTTTGTCTGTTGAAATGACAATTCCTTGCTCGGTACTATATTGATTTGGAGCCATGCTGACAAAACAATTCAAGTGCAGAATTTTAGAAATGGTTGTCATGGTTTGTGAGGCATCGTTCAATTTTTCTGTAGTTTTAAGGAATTCTCCAAGGGTTTGTTTTGGGAGCTTTTTCTTCTTATTCTTGGTAGTTTCCTTCTTGTTAAAATTGGCATCAACTTTGAGATGTTGTGTAGATTGATCGATGAGGGAGAGTTTTTCTGGCAAGATGGTTTCCACATTTTGTGAGAGAGTCTCTGCAGAGTCATGAATCTCCACACTGGCTACCAAATTATTGGATGCTTGTTGAGCATTCTTATTCTTACGAGAAGGGGTGGCTGTTTCTGATTGTTCTGGAAGAGTTTTCAATATTACATTTTCTGGCTTTTTCAAAGTTTGAATAAATCTGTCAGTTTGACGTTTAAAGCTCTCTACTGTAGAGTCATTTTCTGACTTGTTACTGGAATCTACTTGATAGACAATGTTCAAATCGCAATGAACACGAGCAATCACACAAGATAATTGATCTTCCTTTAAATTGGACAAATCTCCTCTATCTCCAATAATATTCAATTCGGAAAACTCTTCAAAACTTTCCATTGTACAATTATTGTCCTTACTCACTCTATACAAATCAATTGATGATGCTCCACCAACCATTATTAATAATTCTCTTCCGATCAATTTGTTGAATTGTTTACTTATCAATAGAGGCAAATTTTGAACCAAATCACTCAACGCAGCCTCTCCCAACAATTTTCCAACACTATTAGCAGTAATATAAATTCCCAACATGTCCATTCCATTCGGAATAATCACTTGCTGCATTAAATCCAATTCATCTTGATCAAAATTTGAAAGACTCTTCATAAAGTTGAGAATAACTTGCTCATCATTTTGTTGATCAACCTTATTCAATCCGATCAAATAACCAACAATGATGGTACTACTCGTTGCGAGTTGCTTAAAAAATTGCGATAATCGATTCTTGATAAGAGTTTGAATTTTAACCATTTTTTTTCGGATCACGGAATTTTTTATTATTTTCAAAAATTTAATTTTATTTAATATTTACTTTACTTGATTATGAAAATGATGATGTTTAATATTCAAAAGTTAATATTAAAAGAAGAATAATAATAAACAGCTTAAAGCAATGAATCCATTAATGAAATGTGTTGAGGAAGCATTTACCATTCTCGAACTGTTTGAACCTCTTGGTTGATTGGTAGAAGTGATTGGAGTGATTGGATTGAATACTGAAGGAATGCATGAATTGGAACTTTCATATCCACTTGGAATGTTATCAAATTGAACAGTTGTATTCAAATATTCTGGTTTTTTAGGAAGTGATCCAATGTCTTGGTTGACTGCATTTTCATCAATAACAACCTGTCCAGAAATGGATGTCAATCTCACTCTACATGGACATGTAATAACATTTCCAGTTGTGTATAACCAAGTATTTCCCTCAGTTCTATTCAATGAAATCCAATTTCCCTGAACTTTACTTTGAATATCGACAGATTTCAATCCAATATTGAAATTTCTCACTTGTAATTCAAATCCATAATTTCTCGAGTAATCAGTAAAGAGAAAACTCATATTTGGTGATGGAGTTGAAGATTTGAATTTTGTGCATTGGACAAATCTCCAAGTTAATTGTTGAACTCCCCATCCCAAGTTTCCTCCACTCAGATAATTAAAGGCAGTATCACTTATATCTAACCAATTGTATCTGGTACATAAATTAGGAAATGGACACATGTCAGTAACTAAAACTTCAACAGAATGACCAGTGGCATTGCATAGACGTAAACATTGACCACAAACTCTGGAAGTTGACCAATCCTGAACTCTAATGGCTGCATACATGGTGGCATATTCAGTTGGAATTGGATTCAATTGACAAGCTCCTGCATTTGGTGTGAAATAGGTTACAACTGTTTGATAGGCAAATGTTTGATTTGCAATTGGAATTTTCAATTCGTTTGCATGAGAAATAGTTTGATTAACAGTTGAAGTATCTATTTTCATAACACTCATTTGTGAAATTATATTCTTCAACTCAACCTGTTCATTTCCATTTATGGAAAACTTTACAGTAGCTGGAAGAAAGAAAATATGAGCATTTGTGGGAGCTCCCAAATAATAGCAATTTTTAGCATAATTCTGCATTGGATAATATGTCAAAACTGGATTTTCAATATTTGTTTCCCAGTCATAAGTCATGATTTGAACATTTGTGAAAACTTGTGAAGAGTTTTTGGCATCCGACAAGCAAAATTGTAAATAAGTCGGATTAAAACTTTCAATATTGATAATGTAGGCATGTGTGGTGAGGAGTTGGAGTGTGAGAAATTGCAAAAATGCAAGTAATAGTAGATATTTTAATGACAGGTGTTGAGACATTTTTTTATCGATGAAAATAATCGACAAGTGACCTGTTGTAATCTTGTTAAAAAAGAAATCCAATGGGATTTAATGTTTGGTTTTGATCTGCCAATTTAAGACATTTGTTTTCTGTATTTGGTGGATTATAATTTAACATTTTACAATGAGGGTTTACAATTTCTGTTTGAATTCATTTAAAACTAACATTTTTATTAATTTTACGATTTTTGAGTACAAAATTTGTTGAATTTGAAAATTATTTCCAGGGTCCATTCAGTTCAAATTTGACGATGGTTGTAAGAACCAAGAATTTGCATTTCAATTTTTTTATTTTCTTTTTCAAATGAAAGTGTTTTTGTACTAATTTGTATTATTTTTGATGGTGATTGAAAATTTCCATTATTGAACCCGCAAGTAGTCCAACAATTGACATTCATCAACACCTTATCATTCTCTTTTAAACATAAAGGAAAGTAGTCGAAAGAAACTAAACCAGTGGAAACATGTAACTGAAGGTCAGTTCTTATCACTGATCCACTTTCTTCAACGTACTAAGCCAATTAACTTTATTTTAATAATTATATCGTTCAACACAAAGCCTCATAACGGAACTATGATGCCAAACGTCAATGTCAACAAATCAAAAAAAAACGTTAGATTGTTATTACAACGCAGACAACGCTGTCTTTATACAAAAATTTCCAACAACAAATTCTTAATAAAAGACAAGTTTGAAGAGAACAATAATCGAAACTAAACCTTTAGAATAATTGTATATAAGAGAAATCATGGGTAACGAAAATCAAAAGGGAATTTCTACAAAGCAAATTCACGACTGGCAAGAAATTGCTGAGAATAGACGTATGTAATAACATTATTTAATAATATATTAAATCTCATCATAATATTTAATATATTCATTCCGTGATGACGACCAAAAATGTTTGCCCGCCAAATTTTACTGTAATTTTCAACGTTCTCTTCTCACCGTGTTGTTTGTGGAACAACAACAATAACAAAAATTGCAAACATATGATTGATGATGAATATGTGCTAATAATGAATGCTTGTAAATTCATATGATGATAATTTGTGTTGATCTACGGGCGAAATTTGTAATATTTTGATGGTTTAATGCTGAATTCAACAATAATAACAATAACATTGTGTTGGATGAATATAATGATGATGGTACTACTTTGTAATTATTATTGAATACAGTCTCAAAGAAGGATATCAAACGTTACAGAAAGATATGGTTGGATATGTTTGGTGATAAGGAAATGGACAAGGATGGTTTTAAAAAGTGGATAAAGGCTATTGGTATTTTCCCTAACCTTCCAAAGGATGCTCCAATAGATCACTTGTTCCGTTCCTATGATCGTAATAGAGGTATGTTAATGATAATAATTTAAATTTATATATATTTAAATGTTTATAACATAATAATTTGGAATTAATATGATGTTTTTACTTGGTAACACATTTAACTATCGAATATATTTGTATCAATAATAATAACTTGATCCGTTACTATTAATATATTTTAACAAAATATGATGAATTTCGGTTTAACTTTTGATCAATAACAACAACGTGAATGATACAAAAACTACTTATTCATCCAATGATGAACATTCTAAAACAATTATTATCAACCTAACAACAATATAACTAAAACACAACAAACTAACAATATATTCCAACAGATGGTAGTATTAGTTTTGAAGAATTCATTCTCTACCTCTCCATCACTGCTCCAACTCAAACAGAACAAGATCCAAGCAAAATCATTGAAGTTACCTTCTTGTTGTACGATGCTGATGGTGATGGTCGTTTAACTTCAGTTGAATTGGAACAAGGTATGAAGGATACATTCCGTTTGTTAGGACATGATGTTGATAGTGAAAAATTCAAGCACATTATCTCACAACGAGTGAAGCAATTGATGGACTTTGCTGATATTAATGGAGATGGTGAAATTTCACTTGAGGAAATTCAAGAAGCTGTCAAGAAGAATCCAAAACTCTTGCTCATCTTTTAAATTCAATCAGCAGAAACACACTATTCCAATAATACCATCACCCTTCCAATGTAATTCAATCCACAAACACAAACCTACCTAATGCAACACTGTAGTATTGTTATTATTATTCCTTCACACTACAATAATAGTAGACAATTACTTCACAATTCCATTAGTTCTTTATCAAAAAAGAACTAATAAATTATATTTAAATGAATGCGCAATCTCTGTAAAATCTTCAATTATTGAAAATGACTGTAAAGGTGCAATATCCAACTGCTTGCTGTTTGTTATTCAATATTTAAAAAATGAAAAGACAAGCAACAGAGGAAACATCTTCATCTCATAGTTGTTCAGCAAGTCCAACAACAAATGATTCCGAACAGCAACAACATGTTGAAAATTCCGAAGCTAAAAAACCAAAACTTGAAACTCTCTATGATACTCACCATCTCAGTATTCCACACAATCCACATTATTGTCACTTTTGGGAGCATGACTTGTTTAGAGTCATGTCAAAATATTTCCCACAGTTGAAGGAATTAAAAGACAAGACTCCAGTGCCAACACCAAAATCAGAGCAAGATCATGAAATGATTAGGAAGGCACAGAAGGAAGGAGTTGGACTCTCCGAAAAGGAAAAACACAAGGAGAAACAATACTATACGGTTCAGAGAAGAATGGCCTACTTTTTAATTGATGAAATATTTAAACAATCACCAATTCGTTGTTGTCCATATTGTTGGTTAAATATTGATTATTGCATTTGTAAACAAATGGTTTTCCCTTGGAGAGAGAATAAGCATTTGGACACATTTGTTTCAGAACCTTCCGAGGAATTGAACTCTGTTCGTGAACATTGTGAGAAGCCATCTGAATTACAATCAGACGAGCCACGTTTAAAGATTATTCTACTAATGCATGCCAAGGAATTTTTCAGAAAATCAAACACTGGAAAGATTTTGATGGATACATTACCAAAGGGATTTGTGGAAATTTATCTAGTGGATGTAGAAGCTCATGAAATTGAATTTAAGGAGAAATATTATGGACAAGAGTTGACCTACTTGCTCTTCCCAAGTGAAGATGCTCTCGATTTGGATCAAACACTTGTGGAACAAATTAAACAAAAGCAAATGGACCTATCAAAAGAAATGTGGAAAGACCAAGAGAACTACTCAACCACCAATAAGCGACCAATGAAAAGTATTAATCTCATTATTGTGGATAGTACTTGGCAACAAGCCAAGCATGTTCTCAAAGCTCTCTGCAACAAGAAGGATCTCCCTAATAGACTTAAATTCGATCAATCCAAAGTTGTGCATCTCTATCAACAAAAGGAACCAATCTTTAATTTACTCAGAAAACAAACAGAGAAGGATCGTACCAGTACTCTGGAATGTGCCTTATTATGCATGTTCTTGTTTGATTTGTACAGTTCTGAATTTAGCAAACCATTGCTTTATAATTTGAAATTACTTGTTGTGACCATGCACAAAATGTGTCACAAGGCACTTAATTTTAATGATTAAATTTATAATTTTTAAATTAAAATTTGATTGTCTCTGTATTTTTCAAATATGAAAATCCTTTGCATTAACAATTTTGGAAAGTGGCACTTTTCAGTAAAGAGGTACTTTTCGGGATTAACTCAAAAAATTGGCCATTTGATGATACTATTTATTATTCCAAATATACAATCTAAATAATAGTAATGATTAAATGATTAATACATACCATTATTAATATTAATAATAAAATATGTTATTACCAATTTTTTGAATTAGATAAATAAATTGACATTTTTCGGATCAACCATTGTTGGAATACAAATCGACAATTTTCGGAAACAAAGTGATTTTATTTTAATGATCTTCATCCTCAAGACGATGCATATCTTCGTGTTCATCATGTTGGGTTTGTCTAGCATCCCTTCTCTTCTTCCAATAATAAATACCTCCTCCGATAATAGCAATGATTACACCAACTACTAAAACTATTATACCACCAATGATTGGTGGCTTGTTGATACGCCAAAAGTCATAAACAAATGGTGTAGTACCATTCCCTGTACTATTAAGAGCAATAACAGAGGCCTCCACCATTGGATAATTAGCTTCCACAACACAAGCAAAATTCAATACTAGAGCAGCAAGAGCGGCGATGGTGATCCAAACGTTCATTTTTTTTCTCTTGTGATTGAGGTCCAGAGTTGTTTGTCAAAAAAAAGGGCGCTCATTTTTCTACTCATAAAAAAGATTCCCAACATAAAGAAGAGAAAAGGCTTTGAGTTGTAGTAGTAAGGAAGAATGAAAAAGGTACGATTTAATATGTTGGATAATTTTAAATGATCATGTGTGAGTTGGATGGTAAATGGAGAAGGATTGGAAGTGAGGGATTGATGCTGTATTATGGTGGTTGGATATCACTCTCTGTTTGATGAAGGCTGAGGTTGGTGCTCATCACCCTCTTGCTTTAAATGTAACGATTAATAGGTTCAAAATGATTACAATATTCTGTCTTCAATAATAATGTTAATTTCGGAATAGGATTTAATAATATTATTTTACAGAAAAAAGGATGTGGAATTTTGAGATTGATTTTCTAAATAATTAAAAAATGGAAAACTTGGAGAACATGAGAGGTCAACTCACCACAATCATTTTAGATTGTAATTATTCATCACTTCTCCTCACCACTCAAATCCGAGATGTTCCCACTTCTCTAAAATTTAAAACAATTTTCTTTCCAATCCTTTCCCATTTATTACTTAAAGATCAATTATTCATAAATTGGAGAGATGCTAAATATATTGTTGAATATTTACAAAAATCAAATGGAATGTATATTGCAGATAAGCTGAATTTTTGGTCTGTAAAGTCGTTTGTGTTGCGGGTTTTGGATTATGATATAAATGTTTTGAAGAGATTCAAAGATTTTACAAATGATAAACAAATAGTCAACCAATCTGTTATTCGAAATGGATTATTACTCCAACTTGCAAGTGAAGACTTGAAAAATGATAAGGAAATTGCAATATGTGCCTGTAAGCAAAATGGGCTAGCTCTCAACCATACCTCCAAAGAATTACAAAAAGATATGGAAGTTGTAAGGCAAGCTCTTTCTCAAAATGGATTAGCGCTCGCGTTTGCGGATAAAGAATTACAAAATGAAAAGACAATTGTAGACATTGCAATTGAACAAAATGGATTGGCACTTGAATTTGCAAGTGAAGAGTTGAGGAGAGATAAGAGTATTGTTTTGAGAGCTATTTCACAAAATGGAGAGGCAATTAGATTTGCTTCTAATAATGTTATTTCGATGGCCATTTTACAGGAAGGACACAAACCAGAATATTTAAATTATTCATTGAAAAATGACAGGGAACTTGTTTGGAAAGCTGTTAATCAAAGTGAAGGTGCATTAAGATATGCTTCTGAAGAATTGAGGAATGATAAGCAATTAATTTTGAAAGCTCTTAATTGGGAGGGATATGTTTTCTATTTATCTCCTCGGTCATTGAATGATATGGAGATTGTAATGCAAGCTTGTAAGCTATATGGACTATCTCTCAAATATTTGTCATATGAGTTCCAAAAGAATAAGAAAATTGTCTTACAAGCTGTGTGTCAAAATGGATTAGCTCTTGAATATGCTTCGAAGGAATTGCAAAACAATAAGGAGATAGTTTTATCTGCCATAAATCAAAATGGAATTTCGCTTAAATACGCATCATCCAAACTCAGAAATGATCGTGAAATAGTTTTACAAGCCATTAACACGAGATCTGTGCGATGGAGTAAGCAACCTATTGATTATGCTTCTCTCAATTTACAAGATGACAGGGAATTGCTAATGACAGCTTTCAAATTAAAAACAGGATCTCTTCGAAAAGCGAGTAAGGACAAGAAAAATGATAAGGAATTAATGTTACTAGCTGTTGGTCAAGCAGGAACTCTACTCAAACACGCTTCTGAGCGATTGAGAAATGATGAGGAAATTGTAACAGTTGCTGTTAACCAAGATGGATTGGCACTTGAATTTGCCTCAGAGGAATTGAGAAATGATAAGGAAATTGTTTTACAAGCAATTGAGCAAAATGGAAATGCATTTAAAAGTGCATCTTTTGCATTGAAGGCTGATAGAGATTTTGTAATGACAGCTATCCAAAAACATACAGAATGTTTTTTACATGCCTCTTATGAATTGCAAAGGGATAAGCAAGTGGTTTTACAATATTTACAATATGTTAAAGATGGGACTAGGTTATCTCATTTATCACATGAACTGTTGACTGATATTGAAATTGCTCTAAAAGTAATGGAAAAGGATTTACAGACCTTTGAAAATGTACCAAAAGAAGTGTTTCTCAAAATATTGACTCATTGTAATATTAGACATTAACATTCAATTCTTTTAAATAACTTTTTGCCAATTTATTATTATTACTTGGAAATTATTCGTAGGTACACATTTGCTTATATTCGGCACAAACATCTTCCTTTGATTTTTCAACACAAACTTGTTCACCACCAAAGCTTTGGTATTGTTGACAAATCTTTTGACCTTCACTCTTTCTGATACAGACCTTGCTTTGCTTATATTCAGCACATCTGGCATTGGTGACAGCCCATGATTCACAAACTTCCTTTTGAGTAGTTTCAGCACAATATTTGGTATATTTGGAAGATAAACAAACACTAATCTTCTCCTTCTTTGAACAGACTTCAGAACTAGTCTTGGTCCATCTGGTACAAATCTTTTCAGTACGTGGAGAGACACATTCCTTTGTGCTCTTATATTTGGCACAGACACGTTCACTTCCATTTGGAGTGCATTCTTGTTTGTATCCATAGGCAGTACACTTTCCTGGAACAGTACGAGTTGCCCAAGATTGACACTTGCTTTCACAACATCCATCAAAGTAGTAAGTTCTACACTTGGTAACTGGCTTCTTATTGCAAGGACAAGTAGTTGTGGTACAAACTTCACGTTTACCCTTTTGACATTGCTTCTTGTAGGCAGTACAGTACTTTTCAGTTCTGGATGGAAGTTCCTTAACACAATACTTGACAGCTTTACATTTGGTCTTTGGAATGGAATTCCATTGAGCACATGAAGTGACTTCATTGTACTTGTTACACCCAACAACTCTGGTGCTGTATCTTTCACAAACTGCCTTATCAGCTCTCTCAGCACAAACTTCCTTTTCACCGTATTTGGTACATTCTTGTCTGCTTCCTTCACGAGCACATGAAGTAACAACCTTCTTATTGGTACAAGTTTGACCACCTTGAACATATCTAACACATTGATTGACAATCTTTTCTTCAATACAGTTATTTGAACCAGTCCATGACCATTTGATACATCTTTGTTGTTCTCCTTTCATTTCATATCTGACACATTTGCCAGCTCTTTGAGAATAATTAACACAGACATTCTTACAAGTCTTCTTCTTCTTTTCACATTCTTGTCTATAACAGGTCAATCCAGAATCAGTCTTGAATGTTAAAACTTTAACTTGTTCAGTTTCTGGATTACATTCCTTTGTTTCAACAGTTGGACATTGATCATGCATACATCTGAAAGCATTACACTTCTTTCCATGATACCAAACTGAAATTTCTCTTGCAACTTGACCATCTGCACATTGTGGTTTGGATTCTTGTGGACAGACAATGTCTTCACATTCATATTTACCACATTCTCTTCCATTAATAGTGACAACCTTTCTGACAACTCTTTGTCCAACCTTACATTTAATAGAACGAGTTTCTCTCAATTCTCTTGGACATGGAGTCTTGACACATTTCAACATATTACAAGTAATTGATTGATAATTAACTTGTTGTTCAGATAAAGTCCATCCATCTCTACATTTAACCTTAGTCTTGTCAGTAAATTCAGGTGGACAAGTCAATTTAGTACAAGTAACAACTGGACATCCTTTCTCATCTCTGGAAGCTTGTCTAGTTTCTCCAGCAGCACAATTGACTGAAATTTCTGGACATTTTTCAACCTTCTTGACACAAACCTTTCTATCACAATCCAATTTTCCAAATTTAACCTTTTTAACAACTTGATAATATCCTTCTTTACATTTCTGATCTTGTGTGAAAATTAATGGACATTTAACAGTTGGTTGATCCTTCTTTCTACATTCAAAATAAGGACAATTCAATCCATTTACCAATTTAGTCTTTCTAATTCTTTCTTGTCCACATTTACAAGTCAATTCATAATTCAATTTTGGACATTTCTTCTTTTCAGAAAAACATTTCGATAAATCACGAATTTGTTCAATCAAAATATCAGAAACTTGATTTTCTCTTCTGGCACATTTTTCTGGAAGTGAAATTGCAAGCTTTTTCATTATTTTACGAACACGAGTTGGAATAAATTTTTTAGGATTCCACTTGTCACCAAGTTGTTTTTTTTGGATGACTAATTGTTTGACCAATAGTTCGAAATCAGATGAAGGAGATTCCTTGCTTTGTGTTGGGGAGATCAGGAGCGTTGAGCTCGTGAGAAGGATGAAGAGAAGGCAACATGCCAAGATGAAATTTTTAGGTGACATTTGGCAGTTGATAATAGGATGTAGATTATTTTTTTTAAAAGGATGAAGCGCTTGTTGTTTTGCGGTTTTCTCGTTTTTGTTGTTGTGTCTTTCTTCGTGTCAGTCTTCAACGTCAGCTTTCAATTTTCACAACCTAGAAGGAAACTGTAAAGTGAATACAACGATAAGGTTCACTTTAAGATTGCGTATCTCATTTGAATTGAGTGGGAATCGATTTACAGTTTATTTGTTGGATTGTGGAATTTTAATGTATTGTATTAAATAATATATTTAATGTTTATTCGAAAGGTCAGTAGAGATTCAGTGAAACATTGATGTCAATGAGATTGTGAGGTCTTGAAAGTTCGAAATTGAAAGGAGATAACTTTGCACTTTTTCCAAACATTTTACAAAACTAATAATTTCGAATAGTTCCCATACTCCTATCGACAAGCTATATACTATTTTTCAAAAACTGATTCAATATTGAATGGAACGACATTAAACTTAAGAATACATTCTATCATTTGTGAAGCAGTAAATATGTGTGTTTGATAAAAAACTACAGAGATCACTTCAGGCCGTTTTTCCAGCAATCACCATTCATGATCCTTAACTGCAGTTTTGCCTTCTCCAATTCTTTTTTTAGTTGCCGTGTGATTGCTACATTTAATTCTAAGAATTGATGCATTGTAAAGTTTAAGTTGTTTCGTATTTTTAACTTTTGGTTCCTGAATATCGAATATTATTTGAAATTGAAACATACCAATGGTCAACTGAAGGAGTTTATAAGAGGTTTGGTGAGGAAAGGATTCGTCCACACCCGTGCAGATATTGGAAACTTTGTGAAACTCATCGTTTCATATTTCGGGATAAACTGAGATGAAGATAGGACTGAGAAGTGAGGAGAATTTAAACAGACTGAAATACCCTTTACAAAAGGTGTAAAAATGGTTCAAAATAAATGTTTAGTTTTGTTTCTAATAATCAAATAAGAGGTATTCTAACCGAAACATGTTGATTATAAGAATGTTGCATGCTGACCACAATTACAAAAACTGAAGAGATAGATTGATCATATTTAAAAAAACGACGGAACTGTTATTGACCTTTCAAAGTCACCTGCCAAAACCATTTTAAAAAAAAATGTTAAGAAGCTTTTCATCATTCGGATCGTTCAACGTTTCATCCTTCCAACAAGCAGGTTATTTCCAATGCAACTATCAAAATGTGAACAGGGATGTGTCATCTAATGATCCATCAAATTCTTCGACAACTGACAGTTCAACCAGTTCGAAATCCATCAAATCTAAAATACCATCTAGTAGAATCCATTATCAAGTATGGTGTCCATCAGATTTAAAGATTCGTGGTGTTGTAATTATTTGTCACGGACTCAACGAGCATTGTAAGTTAAAAAACAAATTGTAAATTTTTCAAACAAGTTTACAAAAAGCTGGCAGATATTCAACACTTACTAATGAGTTATTATCGAGGCATTTTGCTGTGTTTTCATTCGATATGGAAGGTCATGGAAAATCAGATGGAAAACCAGCATTTATTGACGACTTTACAATGTGGTTACAAAATGGAATTCAGTTTTTGGATTTGATTGCAAATGGAACTCTACATTTGAATACTTGTGATAAGGAAGGTAAAGAAATATTGTCTTTATCATTTTCTTCAGAAACAGAGTTGAATATTTCCAAAAATAGAAAAAGTTTGACTTCTGGTTTAAAAAGAAAGTCAAAATCAAGTGGAAATATGGAAACAGTTGTGGATCAGATATATTCACCTTCTAAAATGAAATCTATAATGGAAATTATATCTGGTTTGGTGGAAGTTGATCATTTTCCATCAGCTCAACCACTTTTACCTAATCTGGATATTGCCAGACAATCAGATGTTGAAAGTTATGATGGATTTGCTCAACATGGAAAGAATAGTACCTCTACAAGTCAACATAATCCAAGAAAACCAATATTCCTCTTTGGACAAGGAATTGGAGCTACTGTGGCCATGTACATGTCCATTGAAAGACCTGCATTTATTAATGGAATGGTTCTGAGTGCTCCTATGGTTACAGTTCCATCAGAATTACATGCCTTCCTCCAAAAGTAAGTAATTTTTCATATGAAATGTTTAGAAATTCATTAAATTTCTAGAATTGCAAAAGGAATTGCCGCTTGTCTGCCAAACATGTCTGTCATGGAATTGAAATTACAAAAGAGAACTCATAGTCAGGAAGAAATTGAGAATTTCAAGAAGGATCCACTCACCATTAAGGAAAAACTCAAAGCAAAATGTTGTTTCCAAATTCTTGAAATGACCAAACAATTCAAAGATCAAGATATTTCCAAAATTGGAACACCATTTCTAGTTTTACAAGGATCAGAGGATGAATATTGTGATCCATCAGGTGCCAATCTCCTCATGGAGAAGACAACACTTGTTCAAGATAAGGAAATTGAAATTTGTTCAGGTCTTTATCATGATTTACTGTTTGAAGTTTGTTTCGAGAATACGATGAATAGAATTTTGGAATGGATTGAGAAGAGACAGAAAAAGATTGAATTTGGATGGTGATTTTGTTGATTTTAATATATCGAATTAGCTTCCCACTTTTGAATTTTTTATAGATATTGAACTAGGTTTCAAATTCTTTGTAAATATTTCAAAATAAAAATTGTAAATATTTAATTATTTGATTATGATTTTATTACAGTTCAAGTTGTTTCAATTCCCTTGCTTCCTTATTTTCACCCAATTTGAAATTATTCTTACAAATTGCCTTTACAATATTTGCCAATGCATTTGCCAAAGTACAAATACATTCATAGACACTTCCATTCTTGGCGCCTGGTATCTCATTCCTGTATGGATACAGTAAAACTTTCCATTCCATTGGATCTCTCATTGTAACAAAAACTTGACCATCAATTTCATTCAAATCAATAATTTGTAAGAGTGATGATTTTTTCATAATTCTTCTATATCTCAAATATTCCATCACTTGATGAGTTGTCAGCAATCGACAATCAACTCCATTTCCAATAAATGCTGCTTCAACACTTTCAATACTTTGTGAAACGAAAAATCCCTTATCACCTGAAGAGGCAAAGAACAATGATTTGGAACCCTTATTCTTTTCATGAGTTGTGAAATTTTCATCATAATGATTCACATTATTTTTCAAATTATTCAATTGAATGGAAAGTTTACGTAAATGACCAAATTTCACACCTTCTGTTAAAAATTGTTGATCTTCCACTAATCCTGATTCACTTGAACTACTCATTTGATTGGCTACCTTATTTTTCTGTACAGAATTCTGATCAAATCTGAAATATTGTAAAGCAATGAAATGGTCCAATACAAAATTTTGTTGAAAATTGTAAAAATCATTTTCTTCTTCACCTGAATGAGAAATGTCAATTTCTTTTCCTTGATTTTCATTCTTTTCTGATAATTCTTGGAAATATGTCTTTTGAATCTTTAAATACAAGTTTAATTGATTCAATCTTTGTTTAATTAATGGATGTGTTGGAATGGAATCGAATTTAGCACTTGGTTTAGTTGCTTTAGAATTATTTGATGATCTATATGATTGATTATCAATAGAAATATGTAAAAATGCTCCAATTAACCCTTCCAATTCATGAACTTTATACAATCCAATATCCAAGTCATCAATTAAATGGCTGACACTTGACACTAAAAAAGAAAGTGATTTTGTATCTAATTTTGCATATGGATCATACAAGTCAATACAAGAACTCTTCTCTTGTAACATTGTATCAGTATTATTAAATATATTATTGACAGCTGTCAAGAACATTTCACCATTTTCAACTGATGAAAATAAAGGATTTTGCTTGGAAAATATTTTAGAAGTGAATAATTCTAATCCGATAGATCGAAAGAAGAGCTCAAGCTCCTTCTTGGACCATTCTTGTGCATTATTTGTTTTGAAGGAATTAGTTCGTTGAAGGCTCTTGATGAATTGCATTTTTTTTGATGAGTGACAGGTGTCATTTTGTTGGCAAGAGATGAAATATAGTCTTGTCCAATAGGTTTTAAGTGGATACCAAATGCAATAAACACGCAAAATTTTTATTGAAAACTCACAAGTTGGTTGAAATCGAAATTTTCTCACCTTCCAATTTTGGAATCAAAATTTACATTAAAATTGTAAAGAAAAATTAAACATTTCTTGATAAATCGAGTACCAAATTCTTTGCTGCATTGTAATCTCCACTCCAAATCAATCCAATTGCAGTATTCAATGAGGAAATTCCACTTGTGAAAACTCTACTCTCAGTTGATAAGACGCACTCATTCAAATAAGTTTGAATGAAACCTAAAATTTTGACAACATATTTAGTGTATAAGACTGTCAATGCAATTCTAGGATTGGTAACATCGCTCAATGAATAAGCACCTGCACTAGCAGTAGCTCCTTCATTTAAGGTGACATTGACGTATGGATTTGGAGCTCCTGCAACACGAGCTGAACATTCATTTGGATAGACAAGACCATTAGCTGCCAAGACAGGTGCAAATTCTAATGTACATGGAGAATTAGGTGGTGTAACTGGATTAACTGTTGTTCCAGATTCGGATAAAATTCCACCAAGATTTGAATTGACATAACCAAATGCAGTATTCAATTCAACCACTACACTTGAAAGAGTATTGGAAAATGTAGCTCCAGGAGTCAATCCAGCAAGAATAAGTTGAAGCAATTGTTCAACCCATCTTTGTAAACATAAAACTAAAGATCTACATTGTCTATATTGAACTAGATTACCAGATTCGAAAGTGTATGAAGAAATGGATGCGAATGCATTTGCACATGAAGCAGATGTTGGAACGTACACATCAATTGGTGAAGAACCTCCAGGAATACCAAAAGATGGAAGTGGAGAAGGTGATGGTTTTGGACATGGTTTACCATGTTTGTAAGTATAACAATCAGTGTGTGGACGTTGTGAATAGTATGGCATTGGATTACCTCTCTTTTGTTTCAAAGCTTCGGTTGGTGCTGCATTTTCTTGGTTATTGTTGATTACAACATTGTTGGCCTTGATGAAAGTCAACCAAGTAATTAAGAGACAAATTGCAATGAAAAGTAAAGTTTTCATGTTTTGATTTTTGTTTTGATTGTGAATGTAAGATAATTTTCAGTTGTTAAATACAATTTGGTGAATGAATTGTTCATTGTTATTTACAATTATAGAATTTTCCAAAAATGGTAATTTGGAATAGTTGGTGATTGACTAGAAAGTAGACAATCTCTTGATATGGAATTATTCTATCAAACGATAGACACTCTATGGATAGAGTAAATTAGTAGGAACTATACATTTGCTGTTCAATTTCCAATAAATCCATGTATCCATCTTTAAATTGAGAAATTGATTTACCACCATTTAGTTTTCTTTCCCATTCCAATAATTGATTGAAAAATCCTTCATTTGGCATGATCATTCTCCTTCTTCTCTTCACCATATTGAAAGCAAACATGAAAGAAAGGCCCATCTTTTTCATAACATGTGAAATTACAATAGTAGAACTTCTAGAAACTCCAGCAGCACAATGTACAAGTACAATTCCACATTCAAACATTGCCTCTTCAATAAAATTATGTGCCTCTTGAAAATATTGATAAATATCCTCAGTATGTACATCTTCAATTGGAATTCTCAAATATTTCACTTGTCTATTATCTTTTAATTTAACATTTTCCATATTTTTAACACATTCATCTTCTAAATTAATTTCAGAAACGTCCAAATCAATACTTTGAACATGTTCCAATTTGGAATGATCTGAAATTTCATGATTTCTTTCAAATTTGTTTTCAACATTCTTTGTACAATTAACAATGTGTGTAATTTTCAAATGGTCAATTGATTTCTTATTAGTTGCTTGGAAACAATCTCCCAAATATAGAGAATTCATTATACATGATGGAAGATCTAATTTATCTTCATCTTGTGGTTGGAGCGGACGAATTGTTTTTTGGTGGGAAAGTGAATTTCGATGTTGATTGTGATGGTGGTTTCGTTTTGTTTCGGTTTTTTGTTGAGTTTTTGATTTCTCCATATTTGGAGAACTCTTTGTTCTGGTTAAGGAAGTTTCGGATAAAGTTTCATTGGATGATTTTGTTTCTCCTTCAGGTTGAACTGTTTCAATATTTGATGAATGAATGATTGAGAATTAAAATTAATTTACCTTCTCGAAACTTGTCGAAATGAATTCGTAGGAAATCATCTCTATTCGAATCTTGAATAATTCCCTTTTTAATTCTAAATGATGAAGGTTTGATGAGTTTATGATCACTTGCCCTATCGATATTTGATTTGTGCTCCTCCTTCTCCGTTTCTGATTCAGCAATAATAACAACCTTCTTGGGTGACGAAGTTTTTTTAGACGAAACTATGGATAAACTATTCGAAGGTGTATTAATCTTTTCTGATTTGTTATTTGAAGATGATTTCTTGGGTGATGAGGAATACAAATGCTTGAGATAGGGACGCATTTTTTTCAAGCGTTTTGACATGTGAAGGTTTTGTTACAGAAATAATGAAGAGATTGACAGTCGTCCAATTAGGAATTTGATCGTTTAACTGTAGTTAGTTTGTTGTAAATACTACAGTTAAATGGTTTTCTTTATGAATTGTTTCGAATACTCAAACATATATTCTTAATTTGGAAATCATTATTATTTACATTTTTATTTTATTAAAAGAGATAAAATTAAAAACTCGTATTATTTTTCAAAGATTCACAACTCAACGTAAAATTTGATTTCAATTCTTTTTGAAAATTAATACTTTTTGTTTCTTTCAATAATTCTCGATACCATGAACGATGTGGATTGGAAAATTTGTTCAATAGTAAGGTATTTACAATGTAGAGAGGATCATTGGTTCGAAGTAGGTCGGAAACGTCAGAATGTTTGGAGAAATAATTATGGAAAGTTTGTTTCACTCGTTTGACACGTGACTTGATGGTTTGTTTCATTTTAAATTTGGAATCGATACGTTTCTTTTCCAGATTGAATAGATGTACCATGTAGGTGGAATCAGATCCAGATTCATTATCTCTGTAAAAGAAAAAGTGTGAAAATCCAAGATTATCAGATTTTGAATCCTTGACAATTGACTTGGACACATGAATGATGCAATCTAGCTCTGAATCATATAAAGTGGTATGATTCATATCGTAAACCTTCTTTTTTTCGAATCTTTGCAAGATGGAAGTTCCATTCTGTACAGTCATTGAGCATTTCGATGTGAATAAACCTTTCGGCTTTCTATCATTCGAAACATCGATAATTTCAGAGAAATCATCACCAGACACTACCACACAATCAGATGCATCATCTAAATCATCCAAAGAGTCTTGAGTATACGATTCAAGTAAGGAAATATCCAAAGCCTCTTCAATGTACTTTCGAATATCTGGTTGTGAAAATGCATGAAAGACTTTCTCCCTTTCGAATGGAATAATCATGTCAACTCTACCAACTCTGAATGAGGAAGTACTTGGATCATGTTTTGGATTTACAAAATCTGAATGAAATGATTGTGAAATAGTCCAAGATTTGGATAAACTCAAATTATACGAAAACTTGTGAGAAGAATCATAATTCTTATGGAATGAAGTCCATTCGGAATCATCTCTTTCCCATAAAATGGTACTGTAAATATCATCATCTGAAATACAACTGGAATAATTCGAACTAAACATGACAAGTTTCGTATTCTTTTTCAAAGAGTCGCAAATCATATGATTCTGAAAAAGCTTGGATTTCAAACTGCTAAGTGACATGACCAAATCCTTAAATTCATCTTCAACCTGTTCTTGTTCTCTACTTTTTGAAAGATTGTTAAAAAATTCTTCACCTTTGGATTTCACAAATTTGGCGCCAATTTCTGATTTGAGAAAATGAGATTGCAATTGATCTTTCAAATCCAAGTTGACTGTTGCTTCTACATCCCCAAAAATGTATTTTGGATTCAATTCATTCAAAATTATTATCAATAATTCTTGAGTTTCTTCCTGAGTTTCTCTAATCATTTCGAATACATCCTTCTCAACTCTTAATCGATTATTAATGGAATCAATCACTTTTGGAGCATGAACTCTATGTTTAGAATGTAAATTCAATTCTAATAAACTATTTGGTGTTAAGTATGTGTTTACAATAAATGTTGCTCTCTCAACCAAGTTAAAAATCAATTTCTGTTTCTTTTTCGGGTCAAATCCTCGACTATAGATAGTTCCATGTTTGTTATTGAGTTTCATATAGAATTGTTTGTAACATTCCTTATACGAATGTAATTCTTCCCAAAACAAAACTAATTCTTCACATTTGGAAATTTGAAGAAACTCTAAGAAAACTTTTCTGCATTCTTCATTGTGAATGAATGAATCGTAGCGAACGAATCGATGACTATTTGATCTATGAAGAGGAGAAAGTAAATGAATTGGTTTATCAAAGGTGTGGAAACTTTCCGAAAGTTGTTGTGCCGAAGACGAAAGTCGTTTTCCTTGGTCTCTAACAGTAAATGACTTGGAATTGATTTCAGTTGTTGCTATTCTTACTGATGCTCTTGCCAATCGAAAAGACATTTTTTAATTTAAAGAATACTAATATTAATCATTACAAAATTTTATTCTAATCTTTGATTTTTCTAAAAATGGAATGAACAATGATAGATACCACCACAAAGACCAAACTCTTCTAATTCCATCTGCTAACAATTTCCAATTATTTACACTTCTCAATCTTTCCATTATTCGATTTGTTTCCAATATCAATAACAATTTGTTCGAAAGGTCAAAACCAAGTTTAGGTTTTGGAACAGTTCTAACTGTTCTTTATGCTCCACCAAACCATCAAACTCAAAACCATTATCTAACCTCTAAAGCATCTACTGTTTCTTATGAACCCAACTACAGTTTCCCACCATTTATTCGAAACTGAACTAGAACTAGTTAAAATATCTTGATGTTAGTTTGTAACAAACAGGCCCTATCAACCAATCAAAACACACAAAGAATATCTTCTGAAAAAGGCAGAGAATCCCAACTTCCAGTTCCCTCCTAAAAAATTCCACAATTATCTGAAAAACAAAAAAAATGGACAACAACTGCCGGGCGGTTTTCTTTGGCCAACGTAGTGCAGTTCTTTTATTGGTACTGTTATTGTCGTGTGTTGCCATTGTTGTTGTTGAAGTGGTTGGTGGTGCGGAAACAAAGTTTGCTAGATATACAGTTTCGAATTTTGCTGGATATTCTGATGAATTTGGAAATGGAGGTGAGGCTATTGATGCCACTCTGGCGTATCCGTACGATATGTTCTTTTCATCGCAGAAGAATAGTCTTTATTTCACTGACCATTATCGCCGTGCTGTTCGAAAGGTGTCATTGACAGATGGAAAGATATCCATCTTCCAAAATGATAATGGCAACTATGAATACAAAGGAATTGCAGGTAATGACTATTTTATTTACTATACTTTTGGAAATGGTGTTTACGCCACTAATATCGATTTTCTTTCCCCTTCGATTTTTGTGGCTGGATCAGATACGGCAGGTTTCTCAGGAGATAATTCATTGGCAAAGAGTGCTCTATTGAATAATCCTACAGGTCTTTTCTATTCAGCATTTGATGAGTGTCTTTATGTGTGTGATAGCGGAAATCATGTTATTCGAAAGATTGATACCAATACTAATGTTATTACTACAATAGCAGGAAATGTAAATACTAACAATACATTCTATGGAGATGGAATTCTTGCTTTGAATGCTTCTTTTAGTTATCCTCAAGGAATCTATGTTTCACAATCGAGTGGTGAAATTTTTGTTTCAGATTCCGGAAATAACAGAATACGAAAGATTTTGACAAACGGAACTATTGTAACTCTAGTTGGTACTGTAAATATTGGGTTTGATTCTGATTCAAGTGGACTTTCAACCACTTTGAATAATCCAACTAAACTCTGGATGAACAAATTGGAAACTGAGTTGTACATTGCGGATACTGGTAACAATAGAATTAGAAAATATGACACATTGAGTGGAATGGTAACTACAATTGCAGGTGGTGGCACCAGTGATAATATTAGTATTCAAGCAACTCAAGCTCAATTATATGAACCGCGTTCAATTATGAGAAATCCATTCACTGAAGAGTGGTACATTCTCGAGAGTAGGGCTGATAGAATTAGTTTGCTTTCTCAAACTGGTACAATTTCAAGATTTTGTGGATCTCCTTTTGAACCATCTTTTAACTCTGATCCTTTCAGTATTAGATTGACCAAAACTTATGGAGTAACAAAAGTTCAGAATGTACTCTATTTAACACAAAGTTTGACTCACTCAATATTACAAATTAAGAATTCACAAGTATATTCATTCGGTAAAGGAGAAGCAGGATTTGCAGGAGATGGCCTTGTTTTAGATTCAAATACTCAATTCAATAACCCAACTGCTGTTGCTTTTTCAAGTGGAACCAAAGCAATTTACATTGCTGATACATACAATCATAGAATTAGACGAATTGATCCAATTACCAATATTATTACAACAATTGCTGGAACAGGAAGTCCTGGATATAATGGAGATAATATTTTGGCAACAAGTGCAAAATTGAACAACCCTCTTGGTGTGAGTGTTTGGTACGATAATCAAACAATGACAGATATTGTCTATATTGCAGATACTTTTAATAACAAAATGAGAAGAATCAATTCAAATGGTTTTATTGAGACTCTTATTGGAGTTGGTAATCGACCAGGTAAAAATAATCAGCAACTTTGGCATCCTCACTCAGTTTCAGTATCATTCGATGGTAGAGTTTTCACTGCAGATAGCGAAAACAAAAGAATCATGCTCACATTAGCTGATAACTCAACTAGTACTTATTTAACTTTAACCAACAAAATTACTGCAGTGGCCACTTTTAATAACTATTTACTGGTAACCTTTGGTACTAACGTTTTTCAATATGACACAACAAAAGATCTATCAGATAATCTAATTAATTCTGCCAATGATTTCGCAAATCCACAAGCAATTGGATATTCAGATAATGGAACTGATATATTTGTTGCTAATACTTTTGAATATGAAATTAATACTTTCAAAGCTGGAGATTCAGCTTTTTCAGCACTGAGAAATGTTGGTAATTATATTGTTAATCAAGATAAAACATTAGCCACCAAGATGAAAGTAGATACCTTTGGAAATACCATGTACTTTTGGAATTCTGAATTATATTTTACAGTTTTTAACATTATTTACAAAATCAAAACAGATGGAAAGATAGAAAGAGTAATTGGATCTTATAGTATTGCCACCGAAAATCCTGATTCCTACGAACGAATTGCTCTTATTCCTTCAGACTTTGTAATTAAGAATGGCATTATTTATTCTTCTTCTTTTCAAAGTATCCGTATGATTGATCCCTCAAACAAATCCATTTCAATATTTGCCGGATCGTCCAGTAGTTCCAACTTTGCAGAAAATATTCCTGCACTCAATACTACTATGAATTGTTATAGAATAGCAGTTGATAACGAATATTTGTACTATTTTGATTTGGCCACTGCAAAGATTAGAAAGATTTCATTTTCGACGAGAATGGTGACCACAGTTGCTGGAGGCTCACAAAGTGTTAGTAAAACATCTCCATCAGTCCCTCTTGATTCACCAGTTTTCGCCAATGCCATGACAGTTTCACCTCTTGATAAGCGAATTTATTTCTTGGACGATACCAGTTACTATCTCAAAACTATAACCTCAACTTCCATTAATTACCTCGGTTAGTATTTCCAAATAATAGATTAATCTTACATAATGAAATAATAGGAACTGTTAAAAAAACTGGTTTAGCCATTGCTTCTGATGGAACTATTTTTGTGGGAGGAAGTTTGGGAGTTTCTCGTTTCCAAACTGGTGGTACTTTCACAAACATTACACTGCCATGTAAGTGGTTATTCCTCTTTTATTTTTTAATTTATCAACAACAATAGTCCTTTCTGCTGATCCCTCTCGTATTATTTATGGAGAAAATGGAGAGCTCTACGTTTCTGAAAGGAGAAATATTTACAAACTAACACCATATTGTGATAGTGGATATTCTTTGAACATTACAACATGTACACCAATTTGTTATGGAGCTGTTGGATCGAGTTCATGTGGTGGCCCACTTCAAGGAAGCTGTATTGCTCCAGATACTTGTCAATGTTCTTCTACATGGAGTGGTTCTCAATGTTTAATTTCAACTCCAGTAACTTTGAATTCAACAAGTACTAGTGGTGGAAGAGTGGATAGCAATAATGGACAAATCGTTCTTATTGCAGTTCTTGTACCTGTGTTAGTTGTGCTGTTCATTACAATTTTGATAGTTGTAATTGTTGCATTTGTGATTGCTTATATGAAACTCAAGAAACAAGGATCAACTGTAACCAATTCTGTTGTGAAATCTCGTCAAAACTTTGAAATGAAGGATGCTAATGCCAGCACTTTTGATCAAATTTCTGATTTCCCAACAGATGACAGCTTTTTCAGACCTCTCAGCAGTAGCATGTCTTCTGTTACAAATAGTGAAGCAACATTTGATCCTCTCTCTAGATACAAAGAATTAACCAAGATTGGACAAGGAGCATTTGGAAGTGTCTTCAAAGGTTTGTATTATTATTTGATTAGTTTCTAATATTTCAAAAAAAGCATTTGACACCAAAACAAACAAGACCAAAGCTCTGAAAATTATTAAATTTAAAAGCTTTGGAGAGTTGAACGCAATCATGAAAGAAGGAATGCAATTGATGAATATCAGTCATCCAAATATTCTGAAAGTGAATGATTTATTTGTGGACAAGCAGGAAATTCTCTGCATGGATATGGAATTTTATGAGAAGGGAGATTTATCTGCATTCATCAAACCTGAAACTCCTTTCTGTGGTGAAGTCATTGTCAAACAAATAGTGTATCAAATGTGTAGTGCTTTGGATTTTGTTCACTCCAATTTGAAGGCCATCCATCGTGATGTTAAATTGTCCAATATTTTCATTAAGAGTATTGATGATACAAGTATTCATACTATTCTTGCTGATTTTGGTCTTGCAAAGGACAATCATGCATCAGCTATGCAATCATATGCAGGAACTCCACTTTGTAAGTTTTTTCAATTTCATTGTAAGATATTTAACCATTCTTCTAAAGACATGAGTCCTGAACTTGGATTGGGAGCTAGTTATAATTCCAATACTGATATTTGGAGTTTGGGAGTAACAATCTACCAACTCATGACAAAGGATAACACAACAGCCATCAGTCACATGTACCTCTCAAAGGATGAAAAACAAGTTTGTGAAATTCTCCACGACAAGATGAAACAAACTTCTAATTATTCAGAAGAACTCATTTCCATCTGTTTGAAAATGCTCACCAAAGATTCATCATCAAGACCAAGTGCCAAGGATATCCTCAAAGATCCTTACTTTTCAAAGTAAATAAAATCATATTTTTATCTTGAATATTATAAATTCAGAGAGAATTTTGAAGATTCTCTGATTGCATATTTAAAACTGCGCCACCAAAAACGAAAAGTCAATTAGTTGCATTACTGCTGCTGTTACGAACAAAAACAAAACCTTAACAACTATAAAAAAAAATGCCTTATCAATCAATAATGTTTTTATTTCAGAGATTGTCCACCATTAATTCATCAACGCAGCTGTTTAAGCATCAGCGACAAAGTGTACTCTATCTAATGATCATTGTGTTGATCTGTATTTTATCTCTTCCATTTACCTCAGTTATAACTATTGTACGAGCACAATATGCAATCGCCTCATCTAACAAGTACTTTGCTGGAATGTATACATTATCTTTTAATTCGAGTTTGCCGATATCTGTCGGAACATCTCCCTTCTCTGATACGAATACAAACACATCAGTAGTCTACAATGGCATTATTAAATATTCATCAAGAGAGACAGATAAGGTTGTTATCATTACAGGAACTTCATCATCAGGAGATTATTTAATATTCACAGCACCAACAGAATTTACAGTTGATTTTGAAATGACAATTGGATTTGAAACATTGAACATTGGAAAAAGAACTGTTTACATCCCATCCTATGGATTTCAGAGGTTCTTTAGTCAAAAACAAGTTCGTAAGGGAAAGCACAACAATCTAGTATTGATGAGCGGAAATGTTAATCAACAAATTGGAGGCTCACAAACAATTCATGTTGGATTCGCCTTTAATAATACTGAACAAGTTCAGTTTACTCCTTACACTCTCTCTTCATTGAATTATAAGATGTTGGAAATTGATGTTCCAAACGACGTACCTGAACTAGATGAGAAACACTATGTTCCATTCTATCTTCATATTCAATGTGTGGAGAGTGAATTGTGTCGTTTGGTCATTAATCTGTTCAATGTGGAAGATGATGCACCTTACTTGGGGACAATCTTTGGTATTGTGATGGCTAGCTTTGCCATTTGCTTACTATTGGCTCTATGTGTAGTGATTGGATCAATAATTCACAGAAGGAGAAGAGGTGTGCCAATTATTGCCTATATTGAACCACAAAAGATTCAAACCATGAGCACAGTTCAATACTATTCTCCAACCATGCAACCGTTATCATCTAATACTGCAACAGTAGTGGCACAAGAACCAACTGTTGCTTGCAATTACTTTTCTGCTGAGGCTGGTGTTGTTGTCTATCAACCACCAGAACCAACTCAAGTTGTTCTGACCTCTCAAGATGTTCATCAATATGATTCCAAAGTGTAAAATTCAAATGTGAAACATTGATTCCTTAGTTTTCAACGTCCTTTGCTATTAAGCAAAACAACTGTCTCTGTAGTTTTCAGGAGTGCAAATTAAACTCGCGAAATTACTAATAAGGTCCTGAAAGATTCTAGGTGTGTACTTGCACCGTTAAAAATTATATTCAACAATAAAATATTAAAATTGTTTTCGAAAAAAAATGTTGTCAAGAATTGGAAAGGTCGGTGTTATTAGTGCTGCTATCCTTGTATCTGCTACCCTCTACGGCAAGAATCAAAACAAGGCTCAATTGGTTGCTGAAGGTCTCCCACCACAAGGTGTTGCTGGTACTAGACATGAAAGAACCTTCATGGCTATCAAGTATGACGCTATTCAACGTGGTAACATTTCTGAAATTCTCGGCAGACTCGAAAAGAAGGGTTACAAGATTGTTGGTTTGAAGATGGTTACTCCAACTCGTCAACAAATTGAAGCTCACTACCATGACTTGAAGGGTAGACCATTCTTTGCTGGTTTGGTTGATTACATGACTGGTCTTCCACTCGTCTGTATTGTTGCTGGTTAGTATTTTCTTATTATATTTTGTTTGTTCTAACGATCTTGTTATTAACACTTTTTCGATGCTCACAATTTGTTGTTTGTTGATTTGTATGAATTTGTTTCTTCATCATATTATTCAACTATAGAGGGTAAGGGTGTTATTTCCTATTCTCGTGTCATGATTGGTGCCACCAATCCACTTGTTGCTCCACCAGGAACTATTCGTGGTGATCTCTCTGTTGATGGTAAGTAATATTTCTTGTCATTTTGTGTTTTTCTAATTCTATTATTATTTCTACTATGATACAATATGATACCATTGCGGCTCTTAATAATATTGGATCACCTATATTATTCTGCTCCATCATTATATATTTTCATCCATATTCATCATCTTGATTTATAACAACAACAGTCGGTAGAAATAGTGTCCATGGTTCTGATTCTGTTGAAACTGCTAAAGATGAAATCAACCTCTGGTTCAAGCCTGAAGAAGTTGCCAATTATGAACTTGCCAACGCCCAATGGGTCTATGAAAAGTAAATGGTTTGCAATTAATTTAAACCTTTCATCATAAACAATTTTAATTTATTATCATTTCTCAACAGAGCTCTTCTTTCCATCTAGATTGCCAGAGCAATGTCATTATCAATACCATTTACTGACCAAACAGAGAAAGCTGAGAGTTATTGACACAAGTGCAATCCTTTTATTGCCACACGCCCCACGAAAGATGAGACATTAGCAACTGTTGGAAAGAGAGGTGTGATGTGGGCAGTTCCCTCCTGTCTAGTTTTAAATTCTGTCAACATTCACCAAAAAAACATCATCAACTCCAGATCTCTTTCAGTCTGTTTGGTTGCTTCTCCAACACACGTTTATTATATCAACTAGAAGAATGTCTACCAGCAAGAGAAGAACGAATTCTCTAGCAAACAGTCCACAAAGCAACACTACATTCCTCCCGCCAACAAACTTACGAGAAAATGCTTCTTCAGTCGGCTCACCTGTTTTGCCCTCTTCACCTCTATCACCACTAACATCGGGTAATGTTGTTGCATCCAATGATAATGATGGAGAGTTGAGAAGGGTTGGATCGATACCACAAACTCTGATTCAATTCCTATTGAATTCTTCACCCTCTTCGTATTTGGAATCGAGTGGTTCTAATAATCCGGATGAATTGATTAATTCGACATTCTATGTTGGAGATGTTCATGCTTTTCAATCTAATATGAATAATAACAATACTAATACTACTAATGGTACTACTTGTTATCATGAAAATTCATCATCTTCATCACCTAACACTGGAAATGGAAGAAGAAGAGCATCATCTTCAGCTGCTTCCTCTCCCCGAATACGTTCCAAGAGTACAACAAATAGTACTAATAATAATGAAGCAAATTCACCCTCTCGATTCACTCATCATCATTCTTTATCGAGTGGAGAAGAATCCAATCATCATCACCAAGTAAATAATCCAAATATCATTGTGGATAATCAGCCCACACCATCTAATAATACTAATGGTAGTAATAACAATAGCAATAATAGTAATAATAACAATCAAACAGCAACGACAACAGAAGGAAAACAATTGTATAGAGAAGCAGCCTCTATGAATTTACTTCAAGTTGGTAAGGCATCCAGCACTGCTAAACAGTCCTCCACCTCGACATCATTACACTACTTGCAACCTCTTCCCGAACAATTTAGAATTTCAGAAGACGATTTACCATCACTCTCACTTCCAACTTTTCTACCAACAGTTTCAAATAATTCAACCAATTTAAATAGAGCACTCTCACCAAATTCAATAACATCAACAACAACAATGGACGCTTGCTACTCAACACCAACACCTACCAGTGCTGATTCTAAAACTCCAAGAACCTTCTCTGGAAGATCGACCACTTCCGATCATTCCAATTCTTCAAATTCCTTCTCTGAAGGTCTTCCTCAAACCAAGAATAATGTAATTAACTTTTTCAGGGAGAAATCATTTCAAATTACGAATATTGGACATGGTTCATCAAATGGAAAGGCTAAAAAGATGACAGCCATTAATCAACATTCCTCAATTGGATGGTGGGAGAAATTCGATTTAATGCCTTTCATATTTAGTTTCATTTCGAGAAGTGAACAACGATGTAGTTTGAGATGGGTCTGTAAAAGATGGGCAACCATTCTCATTGATGCAGATTATGATACTTGTATAATAGGTGTGGAAGGTGATGAAGTGAATGCTCATGTGACATCGAGGGAGAGAAGGTCAACCATAATGGTAAATTTACCAAACTCTCAGAAAAAGGCATCTTCTCTACAAGTTAATAATACACTCTCTCAGGTAGCACTCATTCATCACTTTGTTGCTAGAGATTTTTCAGGTGAGGAGGCATCAAGTGGAATTTTGTACAAATTTTGTTCACTTATGCATTCGAGAATTGTAAGACAGGATTTAATGAATCAATTGGCCAACAGTTCTGAAGATGAAAAATTATTTGCATTGAATGAAAGAGAAAAACAAGAATGGGAATCACAAATCAAGATTAATATTTGGGCACAAGATCATTGGAAGATTATGAATGATTTGAGAAAGAAACGATCCAATTCTCTGACACCTCGTGGTAGTGTGGCTTCATCAGAGAAGGCCAATTCGACCAAGAAAAAGTTAGGGGCTCTCTTTAACACCAAGACTCCAAATGCAAGTCCAGATACCTCATCGATAACTTCCCCTAATGCTGATGACATATTGTCAGAGTCGCCTCTATTCTTCTCAGCCATTGCCATCACTGAAAGTCCTTCTGAGATTTTTAAGCGTACACTTCAGGAAAGACACGACACTTATTGCAATCTCTATCTTCAATTCTTCTACATGGTCTCACAGCAACCACTCGTATATAATGAGTTGTGCAAATTGTGCAACGCTTCACTGAATCTTCAAAAGGATAACAAGCAAAAGAATTACAATGATATCAACACACCAGAAGGTGTTTATGAATCAATGATTTCCAATATTGCAGCATCAAAAATCACTCCAGAAATGCTCTTGTACAAATTATTTGAGAGAGTCTTTACATTAGATACTGAAAATCATGAAAAGTTATGGATGAGATGCTTCCCAAATATTGAAAAGTCATTCATTCGTGCTCAAGTTCAAAATAATCCAGAGGTGAGGCATGATTTTTTCAAGCAATACCTATTTGAAGTTGAGGTTTTATTGGATGTGCTATTTATTTGGATTAAGGATTTTGGATTCAAAAGATATTCCACTCTTGATTTTTATAGAACCAATGGTGCGTTGTGCGAGGTCCATATGATTGAATTGGTCGAAGCTTTTGCCTCCTATGCTCTTTGTCATTGTAGTTTTTCAAATGGTGATAATGTCATTCACAAAAAATGTATCAAACTCTTCAAGCTTATTGATATGACCAAAGATTCATTGGATTTTGAGTGCTCTTCCATGATGAATGATCTAATTCTCTCTCGCTCCATTCAACCAAGTAATACTACCTCATCTCAACTACCAACACCAGAGAATAACCCATTCGTTTCAGCAACATTGGAATCAAAAAGTATTTTCATTTCTCAAAGTGAAAATTCACCTCCTTTATGTACAGTAGAAGATTTTGTCTTTCATCAATTTATACTGATGGACTACTTGTTCAGACATGTCAGCTTATTTGAAAGTAGAACACTTGTATACAAGTCTAGCTCTCCACAAAACTACGACCCTTCACAGACTAGATTCATGGTTCTTAAAAAGCTCTGCAATATTTTCAATAATTTGAGTAATTACCTCCTAGTTTCCTGCCTTTCTGAGCCATCTCTAGAAAAGCGTTCACAGATATTGGAAAAGATTGAACAAATTAAGGCATTGAGTTTTAGTGTCAATGATTTTAGTACTACCATGATTTGTACGAGTACCATAAATTCTTCAGCTCTTGGAAGTAACAAATTTACTCTTGCCAGATGTCAAGAACTTTTAGGAAAAGAATTACATTCAATGGTAACAACCATATCAGAAAAATGTACAGTGAAAGGCCTAAGACAGGAAGCAATAGCAAAAGAATCAGAATTGCTCGTTCCATTCCTTGGTGCCCTATTGACAGATATTTCATTTATCAGTGAGAGTCATAATGACTTTGTTTCTAGCAAGTATGGTGTTATTTTTAATTGTCACAAGTATCAACTCATGACTCAAACCATGAAACGTCTCCATTCAAGAAGATTGAAAAAACCATCAATCTGCACACCACTCATCGCTCAAGTACCTGAGAAAACAAGAAAACTCATTCTTAAAAGAAAGTTAGGAGATAAGATTCTTGCCAAATTGAAATTAATTCCCCAACAACAAAATCCTTCACCACAAGATGAATCTGCCATGATTAGAATCAATGTACAATTATTGGAATTTCTCGCCTATTTACTCTTTGATTGGAAGCAAATGGAAGACAAACCACTTTATGATTTGGCATTAAGAAATGAACCAAGGAAAGCTACAAAGGATCAAATAAAGCCATAAATTGAACTACTGTGAAACCCCTGCTGTTTTACAACTCCTTATGATATTCTTGTATGTTTAAGGAGAATCGGCTTGTAATATGTGGGAGCGGAGTTTTGAATAATCCGCAGTTTTATTAAATTAGTAGTGGCTCCGAGAATCTCATTGATGAATTTATCAACTTTAAAAAATGTCTAGATCGATAGGTACTATTTCACTGGCTGTTCTTTTTGTTTGTTGCTGTTTTCTTGTTGGTGATAAACAAACAGTCTTTGCCCAACTCGGAGGTCAATTAGTTTCACTAGTGACAACAGAAGCTAATGGTGGAAACACCACTCTCGTGTCCATGTCTTTACCACAGTTTACAATTCAATCATCACAACAATTACCTTTCAAGAGTCAATATGGTTTAACATCTTCTGTGAATAGAAAGGATAATTTAATTCATCTCTTTACCAATTCTATTCTTTATAATATTGATAGAAAGTCTTTGAGTGTTAAACAACAAATTCCAATTAATCAAAATATTGTAAATATGGAATATAATCCAAAAACTGATAATTTGGTTGTTTTGATTAAGGATCGTAATTATTTACTTGCTACTGTTTCTCCTCAAAATAATGGACAAATTAATTATGTGATGGAGATTGACAGAATGATGAATCAATCATTCACTCCTGTACGAACTAGTTACAGTGCTTTTGATTTCAATAGAAATGTTTTTTATATGGTTGTGAATGATGGTGGATGGATTCCAGGTCATAACAGAATTCTCAAATTCGATATTAAGAATGACAAGATTTCTGCCATTGTTTTGGAGGATCAATTCAGTGAATTTGGTGATTTTGATTATGATTCAAGTTTGGATTTAGTTATTGGTCTTTACTATCCAGTAACTTCAGATGATTCTGTTGACTTGATCACTATTGATGCAAGCACTACAAAAGTTGAAAGGTTTTCAATCCCAGGTACTGGTCTTAATTCTAATCATATTGTTTCGTATTCCTCATTGAATGGATATTACTACATTATGGCATCTACCGGAAAGGTATTCGTCATTGATATCAAGGCAAGAAAGTTGGTCTTGTCAACAACGAATCCTATTTCTTCAAAATTTGATGTCATGTTTGGTTATTATTTTGAATAAAATTATTGAATAATTTGATATAAAGTTACTAGTATTTAGTAAAATCCATCAAAATTAAAACCAAAAACGTCCTTGAATATGTTTAAAAATGATTCATCACTTGAAATTCCTAAATTCTCTTCTAGTGGTATGGTAACCTCAGTTCGTGATCGTTTCACTCTTAAAATCATTTCCATTTCTTCTATTAAATGTCCATAATAAACCTGCACTCGTTTATATTTCAATCCCATTTCCCTGAGAAGGTTTAAATCCTTTTCCAATATTACGTAATAGTCAACAGGTCCAGTTTGACCATCAGGGAGAATATTATCTCGATTATTCTTAATGAGGCTTTGTTCAATATTCTTTACAATCTGCAAGTGAAATTTAGAAGCCAATGCCATGTAGGGCAAGGTGTGAATTGGTAGACCAAAATTACTCTCTCCATTATATGTAATTCTTAGTGCTCCTTCTTCAATTACACTTCTATCGTATCCAGACTTGAGTAGAACAGCAAGTCTGAGACCATTTAAAATTAATTTGGCACTTGTTTCAATCAGTTGAGTATGTACATTGTTGGTTTCTGCTTGATAGTGCTCTGACAATTTAAATACCATAATATCTACAATTTTCAAATAATCTCCAATATTCGCAAGTGACACATCTTGTTGTGTAACTTGCTTAACTTCTGGAGGTATCTCAATTCCTGTAGTGAGTTCAAAAATCCTGGGCAATTTGGATATCATTGTACGAAAATCAAAATCAATTCCCGAAAGACCGTCATTGACAGATAACATTCTCATCAATCTTATTTCATATTTACCCATATTTGCCTTTTGACTCTCTGTCATGTTATTGAAATAAAACATGGCAGTATAGGTGTGATATTTTGATTGTGTAGTCCTTCCAGCTCCAAATTCAAATTGTCCCAATGAAAAGTGTGCGCAAGCTATCAAATAGCTTGCCACTCTACTATGCAATTTGAAATCTTCTTTCTTGCTTTAATTGCAGATTCCTCAGCATCATCTGCACGTCCAA